TGTGCAAATTGCACCCTTTTATAAAAGGTATAAGGAAAACATAATACCCATACTTTTGAGGGTCACCCCTTTGGGGATTATGAGAATGGATCTTCAATATGGAGATGAGTCTCCTAAAGAAAGAAGCATGATCTTCGAGAGAGAGAGATGCGGTATTCCCATGAGTTTTGGGTTGGCTAAGGCTTCTACTTCTAGGGAGAGAAAGTCTCTCGGTTATCTTTCCGATAGCGGTATTGTGGTGGGAAAGAAGGTATTGATCGACAGTGTTGCTTAGTTGGGAGAACGGGTTTAGAAGAGAAGATCGGTGATGATTTTTTATCGATGTTTTGAGAAGTATATCTCTTATAACCCAAAACTGTAATCTTCATTGTGATAGTGGATTTTTAATTGTCGAGGCCGTGGATGCAGCCTTATAGGGTGAACCACGTAAATTGTATGTTGTTGAAGTATGATTTTTATGTTTGCTTTATTTTTTGCACTCAATTTATAGTTGTATTCATCTACTTTGCATTTAGTCAATATGTACAAGATCTTGAGTGGGATCTCGATATTTGGAATTTTCGGTTGTACATGCGATGGGTTCTTGAGAACCCTACAACTATGAACTTCCATGTTGAGATTTTAATAATAATAATAATAATAATAATAATAATAATAATAATAATAATAATAATGATAATAATAAAAATAAAGAAGCTAAAAGAAACTTCTAAGATTCTAAAGCGTTTAGGCATGCACAAGCTATACATACAAAGAGTTCACCACCATTGGATCCTATCAAGTTTTGGGATGCGAGTGTATTTTAAAAATTTCCATTTGATGCCACCCACATCTCAATATCATTGGATAGGGATCCAATGGTTGTGAACCTCTTTGTACTGAACGTTTCCTCAAAGACCAAAAAAAAACCTTAAAAAGGAAAAAAATTGAAATTTTGGTGTACCTCTGCCATATTCTCCACCAATTCGTTGGCCGACCGGACGTAACTTTTTCGTCGATTCTCGGGCAAGGTGGCCATGGCGCTCTTGAGATCAGAGGAGAGATAAGTCATTTTCTGGCGAATATAGAAAATGACATACCTCCAAGCCATTCTATCTAGCATGCTCCTCATCCTATGAAGCCCCTCCGACGTTTGCTTGATTCTAGCCGCTGCATTTTCCGGCGAGAGGCTCGGCATGAAGTATCGCTCTAAAAGAAACGACCTCGAACCCCACTCCTCCGCCAAAGCTGTTGGAATTTTCATCGAGATTTCGGCAGCTGTGAAAGCCACAGTGATTGTGCCTATGAGGGCCCTTCTATTGAGGCTAAGAGTATCAGATGAGGCTCGACTAGCTCGAAATTTGATTTTCTGGTGACTTTTGCGGTTGGAATTCGGATTCCGGCAAAGGTTGGAAGGAGAGGCATGGGCATTGCTCAAGCTCTCCATTATCGAGTAGTGAGGACTTCGAATCTATGGACTCAAATTGAGTTTTTCCTAGTGCACTGTAGAAATGGAGTATTTTTTCTATTTTTTTTATTTATTTCATTTGAAGGGGGAGACACGTGACCACTAGTAGAGTGTGCCTGTCTTGGTTCCACGTGGCACCCATTTATCTTCCCACATTAATATATTTCATAAAGAAAAAAAGAAGGTTGCACAAGCTCATGGTACGAGAAAGTATTTCGAATTATTCCATTAGAACAGGGTATTATAATCATAGGTTCTATGAGAAAGTATTTCGAATTATTCTTTTAGAACAGGGTATTATAATCATAGGTTCTATGAGAAAGTATTTCGAATTATTCTATTAGAACAGGGTATTACAATCATAGGTTCTATGAGAAAGTATTTCGAATTATTCTATTAGAACAGGGTATTATAATCATAGGTTCTAGGATGGCAACAGTCAGGCCCTATGGTCTGGTCGGGACTTGGCTAAAGAGCCCTTGGACCAGACTGACGATAAAACTAAACAAAAAAAAAAATTGGAGAAGAAAGGACTAAGCCGGGTCGGCTATCTCACACTCTTAGCCCATGCCCGATCCTTTGGTAACATTTGTAGCCCTTCGTTGTAGTTTTTTTAGGATCGGCCCATCTGGACCCGGCCAGACCAACATATCCATTTCCATACCTAATCACTCAATGGTAAAAACTGAAAGAATGACTCATGTGATCTAGCCGGAATATATAATATATATTTTTTTCATTTCTTCACCGTCTAGATCACTCACAAATAGTCCATTGACAATATAATTACTTCAAATAAAAATAAAAGAAAAGAATACAATACGATTTCATGGAACTCGAAGCCAATCAAAATCTTTCTTTCAATAACAAATAAAAGACAATACATATGCTTGGGAATAGAAGATGTAATAAATAAGGGTGTGGTTTCTATAAGGTTGCAGCCTTAAATAATCCAATTAAAGTGCACCTCCAAATTTTATCATACCATGTAATTTTGGTAAAAAAGGTTCTTAAGATTATCTCAAAATCCATTTTCTATCTAATTATAAAATTTTAAACTTTAAAAATGGTTAAAATCAAGTGGATCTATAAATATATGAAAATTTTGGAAATGTACGGTCTAGATAATGTGCTGCAAGATGCATTATTTCTGGGACTCAAAATCTTCTTTTTTTTTTTTTCATATTCATACATCTCAATATCGAGATGATCAATTAGATGTTTTTTTCAACATTAAAACAACATTTTCAACATTTTCCGATTTTGAATTGGTTAAGCAATTAATTGACCAGGTCAATATCTAAGATCATTATTAAAATATACACCAAATGCTGTAGAACTTTGTAGAACTGATCATTATCCAAAACTTCCTCAAACTTGTAAAGCTCTGTTGAAACAATATTTCAAAATCCAGTGATATGGATCAAGAGTCGCAGAATTAGACCCGGAATTGGGTAGGACTAAATTGGTTTTGGGAAGGCATCAGTACTCGCCTAACCCCCCTCCCCTCCTCTCTCAAATTTTTTTTTTTTTTTATATTGTTTTCTTTTTCTCTTTGCTTTTCTAATGTTTTTTCATTTCTCCCCCTAATTCCGCCTATAAATTATTTTTTATGATTTTTAAATTTTTATTTTCTACTTTTCAATGTTCTTCTAGATTGCCGATATCGATTGATATGGATCGGCCATCGAGCATTAATTACCTAAAATACTCCTAAGCAAATAGCTAGTACATATGAGTGATTGGGAGCTAGCTTGGAGATTTTTGAAACACTAGTTCCAAATGTGCAACAAATAAAAGTAAAATAAATCAAGGTCAAATTTTGTTTTGGTGTTTTACTTGAGTTTTGGATAGGGTTGGCGTCTTGAAGAATCAAAGGAAGATGACATTGAATTGATGCTAACAGAAATCTCTTGAACCAACCACATGTTTGAGATATTAATTTGAGAGTTTTTGAAACGGGACTTTCGGTTCGGTTCGGTTCGGTGCCGTGCCATGTATAAAACTTTTTCCTTACTGAAACCCCTGGACCACAAGGCACGACGCCATGAAACAACCGAAACATTAGTCCGAAACAAAGTCACCGAACTTTTGGCGAAAACTTGGAATCGTCCTCAACCAGAAAACGAGGAACCTGTCTCCCTCCAAGAAAAGGACTCTGACGCTATTCTCCTTGGCGCGATTACCCATTGCTTTCACATCTGCGTTTATTCAATCCCAACCATTAAAACCACTTTCTCTCTCTCTCTCTCTCTCTCTGCACCAATAATCCTATCTCTCTCTAAAATAAACCAAACCAACGGTACCAACCAAACCCAGATCTCTCTCCAAGCTTTGTACGATATTCCTCTGTTCCAGATTTCTCCTCATTTAATGCGTCAGAATCGGTTATAGCCTCTAACTCTCTGTTTTTTTCACCCCAATTTCTCTATTGTTTTGTATTCAATTTTGCCCTGTATATTATTGCTTCATAATTTTCTGGGTTAAATCTGAACTTTTTGAATGGCTAGGGGTTCATTATTTGATTTAGAGAAGCATTTTGCGTTCTATGGGGCTTATCACAGCGACCCAATTAATATTATTATTCATACTTTGTTTGTTTGGCCTATCTTTTATACCAATTTGATTTTGATGGCCTTTACGCCTTCTCTGTTTCCTATTTTTGACTTCCATGAAAATTTGGTACCCAATTTGGGTTTCTTTTTCGCTCTGGTTTATGGGATTTTCTATGTTTCATTGGACAAGAAGGCGGGGTCTCTTGCTGCTCTTCTCTGTCTTCTTTGTTGGGTGAACAGCGCCTTTCTCGCTCATCGACTTGGCTTCTCTCTAGCTTGGAAGGTAAGGGACAATTCAATCTCTCTCTCTAGCCTTTTATTTTTGTTTTGCTTCATGTTTTTGAATAGTATGCGATTATTTTTTTTAACATCATGTGATCATTTGATGTATCGTGTTCTTGATTTCAGTTTGGTATCTGTAGTTTATCAGTTGATTGGGTGAATTTTAGAAAAAATTTCCAAATATTTTGCCCTTTTTTTTTGTTATTATTTTTGAATTTTCGAGTGATTTGTTTGTGAATTTGACAGTGTGATAGATGTGGTACTCTCATGGATTTTTTTTTTTTAATTTATATTTTTCTTATGTTTTCTTCTTCCTTATTTCTATTAATCAAACCCCCTCCTTAAAGATCTAAGTGACCTGATATTCGTTGGCTTGAGATTTTGTTTGTTGGGTTTTCTCTAGTGATTAAGGATCCTGGTATTCGTTTCCATTCAAATTTTTTGTTGGCTTTCTGTGATTTCTTTTCCTTCTTCTTTTGGTTTTTTATGTGCTTCCCTTAATTTCTTTGGAAAATACATTTTTTTTTTATTTTTTTAGAACTCTTTTTTGGGCATGTTAAAATTACTTATAGTTTTTGAAGAGCTTATGCTTCATCTAAATTGCAATTAGTGCTTTTAATGATGATTCATCTTGGAGGTGAATAATCCATATCTAGCAGGAGTTGTAATTTCACCCTCGTTGATAGATTTATATTGTAGACCAGTGAATCTCTGTTTTTTTTTTTTGGGATAGTAGATCTGTAAATGTTAGGATGAGAAATGAAGCATTTCCAGGCCAGGTTGTGTATTACCCTTATTCTTTACTCTTCAATCTAGTCTCAAGAGCTAGGGCGGAGAATTTTCCAGATCGGGTCCGTGTCCAAAAAGTATACACTTGATCCGAATCTGATCAGATCCAAAATATTCGGATCCGAAGCTGTATAGGATCCAGATCTGGATCAGTTCCAATTTTGTATATTATAAAGTTAAAATGTAATTATAAAATTTATATATTATATATAAATTAATAAATATACATTATAATATATATATATATATATATATTATTTTAAAAAATTGGGTTGGATCCGGATCGGATCCACCTATATCTGAATCCGACCCAAATTGATATTAAGATCTAGATTTTGGATCCAGATTGGTATTATGGATCCAAAGCTTGGATCCATACCTGGATCCGAATTGGATCCGAATTTTGGGTTTCAGATCCGGACCGGGTAAATTCTCAGCCCTATCAAGAGCCATGAATTTTAACTTTCTTAAATATTCTTAAGAAGATGGCTTATCTATCAGGATAAAGTGCGGTTTGGCCCATAGTTGCTGCCATATGGTAAAGGAATGCGTACCACTGGTATGGTCTTTGCACTGTGGTTCAAAACATGGTGATATTCTTTCTAAACAGACTTGCTCTTTCCTGAATTGAGGGAATTCAGATATAATTGCTCTGGAATAGGAGCTCCACTCTATGGCAAAGCTCAAAGGACGAGGTTTCAAGTTTGGTAGCTGAAATGCACTCCTATTAGCTGGTCTTCAGATAAGATAAATGCCTTGCAAAATGTGATGCATTGAGAAGTGGGGCTTGTCACGGAAATATCCATCCATTCCCATTCTTTGATTCATTTAAGGAATTAAATTTAGTTCTGAATTCCTAAGGAGCATATCTTGAGTTAATGGCACTTTAATTTCATTAGTTTTGAGCTAGGATTTGTTGTCATAATTCTAATACACTGTGGCTTCCAAGAGACTAGTTTTCTTTTAACAGTATAATTCATCAATCTCCAGTGCACAATTCTTCATATTTCCCTTGCAAAAGTTAAGGATTCTTAAAAATCCCTCATGATTGTTACATCCAGGAATTTAGAAAAAATGCTGCATAAGTCATAACCAACATAACTCTACACGCATCATACTTCTCAAATGCAAAATGGATGAGCACTGAGTGCCATCAACCTATGCACTGGCTTCATCACATGATTTGATCATCTCCAACTCTCCTCTTATGCTTTTCGTGTATACACATTATTTAATCAATGAGATCATGTGCAGCCACTGGAAACCGTCTAGCAATGAAATGAGCTCCCATCAAAATAGAGCTTCAGGACATGGATTCCTTTGGCCCCAATCTTGTTCCCCTCCCAAACTGTAAAGATACCACCAATTGGGCCATGGTTAGCCTTCCCAATCTTCCTTGTACCTGATAAAGATCTATACGTTTCCAATATAGCACCGTCTTATTGAGGCATCCACACATTGTAATGTTCCAAGTTCAAAGCTTTTTTTTTTTCAAACAATAACTTTATTAGTCACATGTGCCACGCCTTTTTTTCCTCACTGTATTTCATAATTATTGGATACGTGGGGTTCTATAGCTCCCTTTCATATTTCTCTTTACATTTCACCCTTGCTCAGCTTTCTGAATGCTTTACATGTATACCTCTTGTTTCAAGATCTTTGTATAGTTCTTGAATCTTTTTTCTCAAGCAGGATAGAAATGACTAGTGGTTTCATAAAGTTTACCAACCTTACCACTATATAGTCATAATTACAATGGCAAACCCTCTCCTAGACACCACATCCTTGGGGTGCAGAGCATCCCACTCCACTACTCTTCTTCCTTCTACCTTCTTGCCAGTCCTCCTAGGCTCCTTACAAGCACAATCACCAGTTTTCCTGACCACCCTCTTTGAATGTTCAAGAACTTGTCTTTCTTCTTTTGCATGTGTTAACCAGCTGTTACAACCAAGATAGTAAACAACTGTTACGGACTTTTAAAGACGTCCAGTTGGATCAGTGGTAGAGGAGATACCCCACTCACTGACAGTAGATCGAGAAACTCTTGAATTCAATTTAGAGTTTTCTTTTGATCCATGCTTTTGTTGTCTTAGTCATTCAGATATGCCACTCTTTGACATTCTGATCCCATTTTCTATCGTCTTCACCTTACATTGCTTTTTTCCTAGAAACATTGTGACTTGCTAATCTCTCTACTTCCCTATCCCCATTGTTCTGATAACTCATCCAAAAACTTTACCCATGATACCCTTGTGATTCAAGTTCTTTCGACTGGGTAAATATTCTTCTTGACTTATGAATTATGATTCTCCACTCCCATTTTATAGAAATCATTTCACCTTTTAGTTGCAAACTTCCTTTTCCCCCAGCTCCTTAGAAGGAATCCTATATTTATCATAGCTCTCTATTAGGTTACACTCAAGGGTAGAAAACTAGGACTTTCCCATGCCAACTAGGCTTGGATCAGTCCCGGGTCTCACTGGAAAAAACAATGATAAAAAGAATAAATGAATTTTTAAACCTTGTATAAGCCCTCCTAAATTGCAGATATGGTTTCCAATGGTCTTTGAACCAATTTAAGGAGTTTCTTTTTCTGGGTTGTGTTGTGTTTTCATCTTTGAACTTCAGTTACGTACATTATCTGTCCATTATCTATGACCTTCTCCTACTGAACATTGGTTGCAGACTCGTGCAAGTTGGTCCAGATTTGCTTGAGTTGGCTCTAAGGATAAAGAAAACAACTCATGAAACGACACCAAGTTGCGTATTGGCTTGACTGACTCACCTGAATGACAATAGCTCACAAGCCATTGCTATTTCTTTTATTTAAAAAATAAATAATAAATTTAAGACTGATGTCTTCTATATTTATGGAATTCAACAATGTGGCCTTTCTTTGGGTCTGCTTGAGTTTCTGACCTTCCCATACTACTGTTTATTCTCTTGCTGCTGGTGAATCTTTCCTTTGACATGTCATGCATCTGGGTCAGTTTTACTCCCTCAAAGTTTCGGGGAATTTAGAGATAGATGGAGATGCTAATATAACTCCCTCAACCTCTCCACATCACCCTATGACACCTAAAGCCTCCCTTCTTCATTGTGTTGATTCTGTTACAACTCTTTTGCAACAGAACCGCTATGAAAATCATCGAGGCTTTACAGTTACTCCTTTTTCCAAATAATAATCATGAGAGGCTCATGGGTTCTGCTTATATCAATCATTTTCCTCTAAATTTCATTATAAATTAGTGTTTAGGAACTCGCTTTGGGCCAGGTACTCAGCTGTGGCACGAGGTGAGTACACAGGAGTACCCTACAAGACCAAAAGCCCTAGAAAAATTTAAAAAACAAAGGAAAAAATATGGAAATAATAACTGTAGAAAAAGTTAAATAAAACCAAAAGCAACTTTTAAAATTTCAAATAAGCTTAAAAAGGTATGGAAAAATGGATCTAAAAAATTTCAATTTATAGTTGGGGACATTTGTAAAATTCCAAAAACATGGAAAATAAAAATAAAGATTACGGCAATAAAAAATCAACAATTTATGCAAAAAAATCCAAATTATATATAAAAAATTTATGCAAAAATCCCATATTTTTACTATTTTTTGGGTTTTTTATGTACCCTGACCTGTACTTATAACTTAGGGCGAGTCGGCGTTGCCCATAGGACGAGGCAAGTCAGACTCGTCAAATTTTTGGGTTTTTTGAATTATCTGTTCAATAATTCATTTGATAATTTGTGTTGAAGGTTCCCTAAATTCTCACCATTTACCTCCATATTTCAAAGTTATTTGAATCCAGTAGTAAAGATATGACATCATAATAAAACCGCATAGAATTAGCTACATTTCTATCATTGTCTGACTGTGAACAAATTAGACCTATTGTAATGATGAAATAAAAAATGAAAACTCAGCTTAATTCTTAAATAATTAGTTTATACAATTAGAATGTACCTTTATGAAAATTCAAATATTGAAATAACTTATAATCTACTTTTCTATGTTTAATTGTGAGGTCAGATGCTTCCAAGGGATCCTTTTAAAAAGCTCCTTTAACAATGTGGAAAAATCACCAAAAGAGGAACATGGAATTATTTAGCTTAGACATAACTTCTGGAACAAGGAGAAAGAATGCATGTGGAG